TGCTTGTGCAGAGACAGTAGGCAGAAGTGTTTCTCAGAAGCAGTTTAAAAATAGGATCTCACAACTGGCCAGCATGCCTTTATAAGCTTACGATATGCTTGCTCCAGCATGAGTACTGAGCTGATGGCATGCAGCTCTGGAGACAAATTCAGTGTGCAGTATTACCTTGACAAAACCAACAGTTTCATTTCATCAAAAAGCAGCCTTCTAAATCAGTACAGGGGTAGTAGCAGTATTAAAAAACAGGCTCTTAGGAAGTCTTTTAATTTTAGAAGGCCTGTTGTTTTTTTGGAGGGACATCTCCTGTCTCAGATAAGATAGCAGTACAAACATTATGGCCCAAAATGAAACAGCACAAATACTACAGTTCAGCACTTAGAAGAGAATTACCCTGGTAAAAGACTGATCAAAGCTACTGCTTAGGTTACACTAAAAGCAGCACAACTATAAATCTCCAGTTCATTTTTCACTTCACTTAAATTTAGGGAACCACGTGACAGTGATCTAATCAGCCAGGGCAGGAACAAGACAGAACCAGACGCCAAGTACCTATTTTCCATACAGCTCTTCCCCACTAGTTTTGATAGCGACACCCCAGATCTGTGCACAAGTAAGCCCTGGACTCGTATGGGTTTGGTATATTGCAACTCTATTAGCACTGCACCCAGCACCTACCAAAGACCTGAACATATGACAATCAACCAAACAGAAGTATATCACAAGCTTTACCAACACAAAGTTTCATTAGTTGCCAACCCATTGAGGTTAGCAAGAAGGAAACATGATTGTAGCCAGAAAGCTTCCCAGTCTGAATATAGCATTCAGTCATCATAATTCTGTACTTTTGAATAGGCCACACTGACCAGGACTACAGCAGTCTTCTGAAGTTAATCCTTTCTGGAGACATTAGGCAATGCTGCACTCCAGTTGCACTTCACTGTTGAAAAAGAAATGCTGCATATCTGCACATCATTAACAACCTGTCAAACTGTGTTTCTATGCTTGACCACAAGTGGTCAACTGACTGGAAACTGAGGTCTTGTTCCTCTGGTTGTTCCCCATCCTTCTGAAAAAAGCTGCCTCCATACAAGTCACTCTAAGCAGTTTCAGCAGAGGTAAGGAGCCCATTCAGTACAACACTTCGTAACCACCAAGTACAAAAGCTTTGCTTGGTTCCCAAGCTTCCAAACAAGAGAAACACTTCTTTGCTCTCCCCGTGACAGGATCACCTTGAGCTGCAGTTCCGGAATCCTGGAGCCCACAGCTCTGTGATTTCCTCACTCTAGCACAGCCTAACTCTCAAGAAGCAGCATTTCCCATTTTCTTCCTACAAACCAGAAAGAACCACTGTTGTGCCTCTCCCACTTGTACCTTTACACCAGCTGAGGAATAATCCACTCGCTGACAATTTCCAGCATCTTCAAAGAACTATTATTGACAGGCCTTCTGGGCTAGCAGTATATAATCAAGAGAGAATACTACCTCACACATAAGAAGGCCCCACCAGCGTGCTGGACCAGTGCAAACACTGATTAAACCTCAGAAGCCGACAACACAAGTGTAAGCTTGTCCCTCTCAACTACTTTTATTATATTTTTTATTTTTACTGGCAGCCAACACCTGCTCCTTCTTCCACAGAAAAACCCAGCTACTCCTTCTGAGTCAACTTTTTTTTTTTTTCTCCAAAAAAGCTTATCCTAGCACTAACCCTCAGGTGGCATGCAAAGGATGCTCCTGTCCTGCTGCTGTTCAAAGAGTCCTTCCAAATCCAGGTGGAAATATCTGGTGACACTGATTGGTTTCCACTCAGTAGAAAGTCACTGGACATATAAGCAAGTAACACATACTAATTTGACAAATGACCCTTGTAACCCACTGAGACCACAAGCTTTTCAAAGATTATCTTAGAACTCTTCCAGTACAAGTAATTCTTCACCAAACAGCCCAGTTACTAGATTACCAGTCACTTCAGGAGCAAGAAAGCCTTCCTCAAGTTCCATGCCGTTTCAATAAAATAAGCTTATTAAGTTCAAAATCCTGCGCACTCTTAACTGGAACTCTTCTTTCCCAGCTTTAGCCTAGTCATTTTTGTAGGTTATCCTACCAATGCATCTGAAATGACCCCTCCACCTGCAGGCCCTATAACTGCAGGTCAACCTAGTAGTGCCTTACATACACTTGTTTTTTTTTAAATATGCCTGACTCCTTAGGCAAGGATTATACTGATTCTGACACTATAGGTCAAGTGCCTTTAGGATTTGCCCCTTTGATTCCTTAAGAATTGCCTTTTTAATGAGGAAAAAAACCCCAAGCAGGTAAAACTTGTACATCTCCATTCTTTCTCCCTGCAGCGGCTTCTTCCTATTCCTGCTCAAGAGTGTTTGTGAATCCAAGCAGCCAACGTTCACATTAAAAAACGATCCATTATAATCAGGCTTACACTAAATCTGTTCTCCTATGGCACTTCCCACATGAACACTTGTGCCATTACAAAAAAAAAAAAAAAAAAAAAAAAAAAAAAAGGCAGCACAGAAGCAAGAATGAACAGCTGGGAAGAGGTACAGGATCATCTTTCAGCATGAGCACTGCTTCAACTATGGCATTAATGCACACTCGGATCTATTACATTTCGTATCCCCCTCTTCCTTCTCCTCTAAGTACCCTTGAACTCTTGTCAGCCTTTGTATGAGTAGTACTGTAAACTGTACTGTTTAAATAACAGGTCTGAGCAAAAGCACAAACCACTTACGCACAGACAGGCTACCGCAGCAAGGCAGAACCACAAGTCTAACTGCTGGAGAACAGCAGTCAATTGAAATGCCCTCAGTAAAAAGGAAGAACTACAGTTAAGTAGAAATTGTTCCTCTCCCTGGTTGGCTACCATAAATACAAACTACTCTTTTAACACCTCCCTCTCCTACGGCTCCTTTTTCCCGTACCTTCCAGATAAAGGCACAGCTTACAGACTGGCCTTCAAGCAAATCCCTTTCCCATAGGTTTGTCCCAGAGCAGTACGTGCATTTGCTGTTACTCATCTGCAGCTGAAGTAATTTCAGAACACATCACAGACATAATTTCAAAACCACACTGCAACACCACCAGTGTTATCACTTCTCAAAGACAGTCCTCCCCTGAAAACAGCTAACAAGACTGCTTGAAACAAACAAAATTAATAGAATATTCCTTCATTCCTGTTGTTCCATAAGAACATAAAGACTCCACAGTTCAAGTGCTTCCACAACAAGCTACCCATTACACAGAACTTTTAAGAAAGTCCACCTCTTGATTCCTAAAACAAAATCAGGTATTAAAAAGTGCTGCCTAAAATGTTTCTTTAGGAATTAAAGCTTTCTACCACAGAGAAACTTTTGATTTCTGAGTATTCTATGTGAGTTACTTATAGAAGAACATAATTATTCAGATTGTTCCCTTACAGTGAGATAGATAACTACTCCCCACTCTGTAATCACAGAATGCAAGCACTAATGAAGTAGAAATGTGTTTTTTGTCATCTTCAGCCCATATTAATGCTCTCCACTAGTACGTATCCAAGGAAATACTCATGTCAGGTCCCAAATAAAATCTGTTCTATCTCGTAAGAATCACTGTGCTCCAGAATCTTCTCTAGAAGATTCTATTGCAAAGGGATTATTTACCTTGTGCTATAGTACGACTACACACAAAGAAACAACGTTCCAGTCACTTACATGTTTGGTCAACAAACCAACTACCTCCTCCTAAGCACTATTTCCAGTGCTTCATTTTTCTGAATAGAGTTAACAATCTTTAGGATCAAGAATCTTACACACAACTGGCTGCTGCAAGGCTCAGCTGACAGCCACCATCTGACATTCAAAAAAGGGGCGTTTCTTTCAGGAAACAGTGTACATCACAGAAGTTAAGCTCAGAGGACATTCCAAACTTGAAAAACCTTCGCACTGTCATCTTTTATTACTGTCTCCATTTCTTTCCTGGTACAAAGGAAAAATGCAGCACTATCAGATGTTCCCAAGCCCATTGCTCCCTTCCCTGGCACACATACCCTGCAGGCTCTAATTGCAGCTAATATGGACTGCGTACAGCAGCTCCCCATCCCCAGCCGTTTCTTATGCAACCAGGCTCCACCTCACGTTACTTATGTAACACATTAAGTAGTGTCTATTATACAGGATTCTTCTACATTAGTCACATACTCAATAACTTCCATTCCAGTTGTTTTAACACAACGCATCCACCAGAAATTGAAGCTTCATACCTCACCAGGTTGCCACTGCACAGAAAAGAAACAAACCATACCACTGAACATATTAACATCTGGAAAAGTGCTGCCAGACGTTTCTAAATGTAACAAATCACCATCATTTGCCTCAGCAATTGCAGATGTTAAGTTTGTTTGCTGGGTCAAGTGCAGAGGCTTACTTTACGTTGTACCACACAAAAACAAGATGTGGGAACCAGCATCAAACTGCTCCGAAAGCATGAGCAGCCCACCCGACCAGTACAATGGGCCACGCTCCTCGAGAAGAAAGACGGGTTAGAATTGGAAAATGGACATTTTTCACCCTCCCCTCTCCCCGAATCCTGAGATAAAATACAGAGCCAGAAAATATATTTTAACGCAATGAAATCCTAGGTCAGACTCGTACTACCACATCCTTCTCCTGCAGCAAGACAAGGGAGCCCGCAGCACCTGCACATCGCAGGCCCCTTTTCCCTACGTACACACCAGGATCCCCGTGCTAACACTGCAGGCCCTCTACGGCCTAGCTGTAACGCGTGCCACATCGCTCCTCCGACAGGATCCACTAGCACACACAGAACACTGGCGCTGCCTTTCCCACCCAGCAGCGCCGTTCCGACAGAACAGAGACGTGAGCAGGTTCCGGCCCTTCCCTCAGCCCCCCCCAGCGCCACACGCTCCGCCACGACGCCGCACGGCTGTAATGAGGTCACTTCACAGGGCCCAGAGCCTCCGGTCGGTTACTCGGAGCCTGACTTACATCGGGGAGGGGAGGCCGAGGAGGGCGCTACGGCAGCGGAGGGCGGATGGAGGGCCTCCCCCGAGCGCGGCTGCACCCGGGAGAGGGGCGGGGAGCAGGGAGAGCGACGAGAACCTTCCTCGGCGGCGGCTACGCCCTCGCGCGCGGGGTTACGGGGGGGAAGGGAAGGGGAAGCGACGCGGCAACGGCGGCGCTGGGGGAGGGGAAGCGCGAACTCTCCCGAGCGCCACCGCCGCCTCAGCCGCGTTGGGCGGCAGCCAAAGCCCACAGGAATGCAGCGCGGTCACATGACCTCCGGCGGACGTGCGGCTCCCTTCCCTCTCCAGGGAGACCCTGCGCCATCTTGGACTGACGCAGTTACAAAAGCAGGCGCAAACCGCTCCTCTCTCTCTCGCTCTCTCTCTTCCCCCGCTCCACTCCTCCCGGCCCCGCTAAGGAAGGAGAAGCCGAGGCCTCTTCCCGCTTTCCTTTTCGCCGGGGATCCCCCGCCCGCGCCGTCCTCCCTCGCGCTGGGATCATGGCGCCCGTTTTCTCCCTTTGCACCAACCTCCCCCGGCAGCGCCGACCCTGCCCGGCTGCGGCGGCCCCTGCTGCAGGATGATGTCAGCGCCAGCCAATGGGGGCGCGTCGTGCCGCTCGGCGGGGCCGCCGATTGGATGCGCACAGAGCCCGCCTCCCCCTCCTGCCTCAGTCCCCGCCGCGGTTCGCTGCGGAGGCGCAGCCGAGGCACGAGTGGGGGAGGGGAAGAGGAGGGGAAGGAGAAAAAAAAAAAAAAAAAAAATTACACAAAAAAACCGACGACCAAACCCACCGAGCCGCCGGCCGCCATTTCGCGCAACAACAGGCAGAACCCGAGCGAGCAGCCCCGGCCACGCACCCTGAGGAGAGAGAGAAAGAGAGAAACAAGAGACACACGCACAGAAGAGTTAGACAGGAAAAAATACCCATAGACTCCGCCATGTCACAAGACGTTTAATCGCCCCCCTCCTCCCTCAGGCTCACTGCCCCGCCACAGCCGCCTCCGCTGCGTCCGAGCGGATCCCTTCACCTCAGCTCCCTCCTGCTGCAGAGCACCCGTTAGAGCCCCAAGCTCTGCCCGAGGGGCGGGGGGACGCTTAGGCTACGGCGCGGCCGCTAGCGGCTTCTCCGGTCACCCGCGTGTGGCGGCTCCATCGAGGCAGGGCAGCGGCTGCCAGCCCCGCTTTTATCCGGTGCCCCGCGTTTGCGCACTGAAGGAGGCTCGCTCAGCCCCTGGTGGGCGTCGAATGAAACCCCAGCCGCCGCCTCCCCTCCCTCACTGCGCCGGAGGGGCTGAGGCCGGGCAGAGCGGGGAGGGGACGTGGCGGGGGGAGCGGCGGAGCCGAGCGGCCCGCCTGGTCCGCACAAAGCCGAACGTTCCCCCCGCGCCGTTTCCCGAAGGAGAACGGGGATCGGCGCTGAGGGGAAGGAGCGCCGTTCCCGAACGCTCTGAGGAAAAGAGCGTTGTCGCCCCAGCCCCCGGCAGTCGCTCAGAGCCCCACACCGCCGTGACGCGGGCCCGTTCAAACCTCCCACTCCACTTCCCCCCCCCCCCCCCCCCGCTCCTCCGTGCGGCTCTTCGTGCGCTCCGCTTCGTGAGGAAAATTTACCCCTCTCTTTGAGATTAGCGACGAGCCGACGTAGCTGAGCGCGATGCCGGCCGCCAGCAGGACGCCGGGGTGGGTGCCCCATAGAACCAGCCTCTGAGTCAATCCTCCCGCCGGCGTTCGGGGCCGCGCGCCGGACCCCTCTCGCCGTTCCTCCCCCGCCCCGCGCGCCCCCATCAGCCCCCAGCGGCTCCCTGGCCCCCGCCGTTCTCTGTTAAGGCGCAAAGAGCTTTTGTAAAATGGACACTGAGCGCTCGGCGGGTGCAGCCCGCGCTCCAGCCCACAAGCAAAATGGCGGCTGTTTGGCTTCGCCTTGGTAACCCTGCCCCTGCCAGGCGGGGCGGGTGAGCCCCGTGCAGGGGGAGGGAGGGGAGAGCGGACGCCATTTTCCCAGAGAGAGGCAGTGACATAGAAGGGAGCGTAGGAGGCTGAAAGGAGGGAGACACGGGAGCAGGGGCGGCAGCGGGGTTTGTACACAGGTCCCGAGGCAGAGGCGCACTCAGCCGGACCCCGCCGGGCGCTGCGCACTCAGCTGGTGCCGGGGGAGGAGGGATCTCCCCGTTCTTTTCTTTCTTTTAGCAGAGTGCTGGGGGTCGGTCCTGCCCAGGGCAGGGCTCTCCGCAGTAGGGCGGCTGCAGCGGGCTGGGATAGGAGGGGGCCCGGCTGAGGTGTGCTGCTGTGGGCCTGTCACCATTCCAGGTGAGTCCGTGCTCGTTGCCACCGCGTTCTGCCGGGTGCTGGGGGAGGGGGCTGGGAGCAGGGGGTGAACGCCGTAGGACGGCTCTCTGCCCCACTGACTGAGGCTGCCTGCCCCTGGAACGGGTTTGGATTCTGCCGGAGTTGCCTTGCGTTCGTTTTTCCTTTTGTGGGCTTTGGCTAAAAAATGGCAGACTGTCGCTATAGCTTGTGAATATGGCGGGTTACTGTAGCTGGAGGAGCTGAGGGGAATTTTTTGGCAGTTCTGCCAGATTTATACATTATGTCTGGAGAAAGAGCCGGGAGAGGCTGTTAGGTGAAAACAGACCTTCCTCAGGCGGGTGGGTTTTAAGAAGGGGTTTGAGTGTTATTGGGACTGCGTATCGAGTTGTATGAAGCTCAGGGAGATCTCTTCCTCCATCCTGTATGTTTGTGCTTTGTGACACTAAAATGGTCGTTGTAGGCCTAATCTCCCTGCCTTCCCCGCCTCCCCTCTGCCCCCCGCTCCTATCTCTGCTCCTGGGTAACCTGGTGCAGGGAAGCTGTCCTCAGGAGTTTCTGTGCCAATTTAATAGGGATCGTTCTCCCCACCCCCTTTCTCGGGGTTGTGAGTAGTGATATTGGCGCATCCCTTTCTTGCTTCAGTGCCTGTAGCCAGCGTTCGCCTTGCTAGGCTGGCGGATTTTAGTCATAAGGAAATAAATACTGGTGGAGCAGCCCCTGTCGCTGCAGACATAGGGGAGGGGAAACAAACGGTTCACTGTACGGTTCTAAATAGGGTAGAGAAACATAATATAGTCTGATTACAAGGGTCCTGTATTCCCCCTATACTCGGCCATTAGGGACGCGCGGTGGCCAGGAGTCAGGAGGTCCCTAACATGGTGCACACCGTGTCGCTGAGGGCAGGGGCTCAGTGCTGCAGCTAGGTTCAGGAATGTGTTAGTGTGTTTATTTACAGTATATTGAAGGAATAATAATGAAACGTTGCAGTTATTGAGGGCTTTGCTTGGAGAAAAGAGAGATTTATTCACAGCCGTAGTTGTAACGCGTAATTAATTGATTGCAATGGCCATACTTTTAAAGTTACTTTTCAAAAAATGTGGAGTAAATTTTTTAATTTCCCTCTTTTGTCCTTTAGAGATTCTAAAAATGGCGGCCTCAGGCTGATGTTGTGGTAATCTAATCAGCTTGGGTCCTCCACACCCCATGCAGCGCGTTTGTCTGCAGCGTATTACAGCCTTATTCTGTTAAAATGAAAAGACCGTTCTCTTCAAATAACACACAAAACATCTCCTGACTTTGCTGCAATTTAAAAATGTTGTGTTCCAGCTGATTAATTTTATTGGTTATGTGTGTGAAAGGCAAGTGAACGAGACCACTCTTGTCGGGGAAGCGGGGGGTGGAAAGAGGCAGGAGTGCTTCTCTGAGGGGTGTGTATGGGTTGCTGGAAGGTGGTACGTCTGCCGGTGTAGTAATTTGGAAAAGCTCCTGCCTTTGCAATAGGCACAGTGTGTCTGCCCATCCTCTTACCAACCTAAAAGCAGTAATATTTTTCAACCTAAGGAAATTCAGATCACTAATTCAGTCAGCCAAATTCTGGGTGGAATCACATTTGTGAACGTCATGTTCACCTTCCAGGAAATACCTTTGCTGGACATTGGGGTGGTAATCCCCTGCCTTCATGGTTTGGGAATGCTGAAAGAACTTAATGCTTGGGGAAATAATGCATGCAGGATTATAACCTGTTACTCTATTAAAGACGTAGAATTTCTCCTGGTACCATGCAATCTTAGTGTTAGGGTTTTTCTTTAATTTGTGTATTCCTACATAAAACGTATGTATGATAAGACACATACATTTGTATTGTACTGAGTGAAAGTGCAATTCCTAACCTCTAATTTTTTTCCAAAATGAAATATGAACCTTTTAGTATCACCACTATAAATATGTTTGGGTGGGGGGAAGGGAAGTCACAAGGATTTGGTGGTTGGTGTAGTGTGCTTTGATACAAACTATAAAGACTGCATACTGTATGTTCAACCAGCAGCAACAAAAAAGAAATTCACGTTTGTCGTTTTTGTCTTTAATATTGTCCTCAGTTTGAAGAGATGTGAGTTTGTATTCCAGTATAGCTTTAGAAGCTTCTGGATTGAAACAATCAAAAGTGAAGTACTGAAATGGCAAAACTGTCTTCGGTCTCTGAAGGATTTTAATTTAGATACTGCTTGTATATGTCACAGCACAGATGTGTGGTTTAAGGTACACCTGAGGTTGAACGTTCAGATGGGAAGACTTTCGGTGTTGTTAACACTTGTTTTTCATATGCTTTGAGGCCAAAAGCTGTGTGATTTCAACCACCAAGTGAGGCGTTAATGGGCCAACAATGCATGCTCCCAATGATACCTTCCTCATATTATACAAATTCTATTTATTTATTTATGTTAAATCACATCTTACTCTCTGCTTATTAGAAAGGACACTGATACGGTTCTGAAGAGTTGTAGGTATGAGCCTCTTGAAAAAGACGTTTGCCTTTTTTATTTCCTCTTTCGAGGTGTTTTCTTGATTACTTTTTTTAACATCACAACGTGGAGGGCTGCACTGCTCTATTTCATGGCCTCAGTCATGTTCTCGGGCAGATGTCCAATTCCAGATTAACATTAAAAGAAACAATTCTGTACAGTTTACAGAAAGTAGTGTTGGGGGGAAAAATGAAATTCAGAAATTGGAATACCCAAGTACAATTGCTAGGGCTTGCAGTTTTTATGCATTAAGGCCTTTTTGGGGATTTGGTCATTCCAGC